CCGCCCGGCGCTCCCCCCATCCGCCCCCCGCGCGGCGCAGCAGCTGGGCCCAAGACTCGCCATTGGGTTAAAACAGCAGCGTCGCCAGCCCCAGCCCCAGCCCCGCGCCGCCGTCCCCGCCCCGCGCGCACTCGGCTACCGCGGCTCCGTCCGCTCCTCTCCGGCCGCAGCTGCGTCCTCGCGCTCGGGGCGGCCATGCAGCGCCGGGGCGCCCTGCTGGGAATGCCGGGCGGCAGGAAGATGGCCGCGGGGGACCTGGGCGAGCTGCTGGTGCCCCACATGCCCGCCATCCGCGTGCCCAGGTCGGGGGACCGCGTCTACAAGAGCGAGTGCGCCTTCTCCTTCGACTCCCCCGTAAGTCGGCGCCGGGGGCGGGGGCCGGGCCTGGGACCTGCCCGCGCGGCGGACTCGGCTCCGGGACCCTCGGGGAGCCACAGCCCCTGCGGCCGAGGCCGGATCCCCGGGCTGCTCCCCAGGCTGGAAGCGCCGCCCCCGGGAAAGACGCGAAATCCCGGCGCTACCGGCGGGACCCGCACCTCGCAGATGGTTCGCGTCTCCCCCGGGCCGGAGCGCGGGGCAGGAGGGCGGGCCGAGCCCCCCGACCCCGACCGCGGCGCTTCCTTCTCCTCCTGCCCGGGCCGAGCCCCCGCGCTCCCGGGACCACCTGCTTTGCCCGGGACCCCGCTCTCGGCAGCTCTGATGTACCCTCCGGCTTCTCTTCCTCCACGTCCCATCCCGCCCCCTCCTCCTCTTGCGTTTGGCTCGTCGGGGCCGGACGGCACGGAGGCCCCCACCTGCCATCCCAACACTTTGGGAGGCCGAGGCGGGTGGATCACCTGAGGTCGGGAGTTCGAGACCAGCTTGGCCACCATGGGGAAACTGTCTCTACTAAAAATACAATTAGCCGGGCGTGGTGGCGCGCACCTGTAACCGCAGCTACTCGGGAGGCTGAGGCGGGAGAAGCACCTGAACCCGGGAGGCGCGGAGGTCGCAGGGAACTGAGATCGCGCCACTGCACTCCAGCCTGGGTGACAGCGAGACTCTGTCTCAAAGCAAAACAGAAATGAGAATGTCAGAAGAAACCCTCGGTGCCTCCCCTCGGGCAGCAGAAACAGGGGTTCTGCTGGACTGTGGCAGTTTTCTTAAGCCTTCCCCCCCAACCCTTCCAAATGAGCCACTGGGACTGACACGCGCAAGTGTGAATTATTGAAAGTTCAGTCCCGAGTCGTGACCCGGGGAAGGGAGCGGAAGCCGGGAGGGATCGCGGCGGCCGGTGGTGGTTTTCACCTGGTTCTGTGTGAATGTGTGTGTCCGTCTCAAGAGTCAAAACGGGCTTCAAAGTGACTCAGCTGTCTGGCGTTCATCAGGCCTTTTTGAGGACCAGGTTATTTTTATACACCCACTTTAGAGCTCATATGTCACCCGGCAGATCTCAACGCCTCGGGAGGCCCATGGATTGGACGGGCCGAGGCAGGTCTCACAATTGTCTAGTACATTTTATTCATAGTGTGTGGAGTACTGTCAGAGGGGGAAAGAAAGTCCAAATGAGCGGCAACGTTTCCAAAGTTTCCTTTACGATCCGTGGGTTGATTTTGTGTGGCTTCGAAGAGTTTTTGCTCGATACGCATTGGAGTCTCAGAATTAGTATCCTTTCTGTGACATTTAGTTTTTTTATTTACCGTAATTGCAGATCATTTGAGGGATAAAATCTAACTCATTTGTTGATCGCTTACTTTGTTTTTTCTTTCAAAAAGACCCACAGAGTGGAGTGTGACAATCGGCAGTCCTTTTATATACAGGATGTGGTCCATAATGTATTTGAGAATGTCGTTTTCAAATGGTACGGCCAGCGCCGGGCAGTTCCCACCACTAGCTCCTAAAGGTGGGGAGGGATGAGGGGCCTAACCTCAGGTTCTTACCCCTAGAAGAAGAAAGTGGCCTCAGTCTTTTAGGATAGCACGACATGGAACGTGGGTCAGATGACTTTCTCCATGTTTGATTCGGGCTCTTCTTCAAGTTCTGCTTACAAACTTTGCTCTTGGAAATGCTGCATGATGTAGTACATGGCAGGTGTGGGGAAAAAAAGCTGATTGTTTTAATTCACTTTCACAAATAGTTATTGGGAGCTTACTCTGTGTGTCTCTAGAATGTTACTATTCTAGAAACATCCAGTGTAGACTGATTATTTCAATCATATCACAGCAGTTCCTTGGGGGAGACTGGGATTTATTTACAAGGCTGATGAATCAATGTATTTCATTATCTATGTTTCAGGGGAGGAAGGGAAGGAAGGTTTGACAATTCTTAATAATTCTTAAATTCTTAAAGCACAGTGTTTGATAATGAGAAGTTTTTCTTTTTTTTTTAGATGGAGTTTCACTCTTGTTGCCCAGGCTGGAGTGCAATGGTGCAATCTCAGCTCATGGCAACCTCTGCGACTGGATTCAAGCTGTTCTCCCGCCTCAGCCTCCCAGGTAGCTGGGGTTACAGGTGTGTGCCACCATGCCTGGCTACTTGTGTATTTTTTATAGAGATGGGGTTTCGCCATGTTGGTTAGGCTGGTCTTGAACTCCTGGCCTCAAGCAATCTACTCACCTTGGCCTCCCAAAGTGCTGGGATTGCAGGTGTGAGCCACTGCACCCAGCCGGTATTTTGTTATGGTATGTGACACTACACTAAAATTGGATAAGGGTTTCTTCAGCACCGACTGTGTGCCATCTCATACATGTATGCCTGTTAGGAACATAGCAAAATCCATGGTGCTAAACACACTGGAAACTTTAATCCACAAGTGCAGTGGGAGGTCTTAGGGAAAAGGCCAAAGCCAGCTGAGTGGGAAAACAAAATTATCCTTGAATTGGTTACTTTTGAAAGAGGTTACATACAAAGATGGATAGAAAGCATGGGAGATCAACATTCCAGGGGAGGGAAATTATACCTGCAAAGAAGATATAAAGTGTGAATATTTTCTACTAATTTGCCTGTGATGTATTTGGAAACAAAGATACATTTGGCAAGCAACAAGAAGTGAGGTAGAACCAAGCAGAGAGTAGATGACGAGGAGGTGGAATGGGGAACCTTTCATCTTGCTTGTGTAGGGTCAGTTACGGAAAGCTGCTCTTGGTCATGTGACTTAGAGTGGTGCCAGAGGAAGGCTGTGAATCAAGACATCTTTATCACATGCCTGCGTGTCTCAGGCCCGTCTGTAGACCTCTGCCGTTCTGCACGTTTGTGGGAGATGAGTACTGTCCCAGCATCTCTCCTGCCTTTTCCCACTGCCGAGGGCCTCACACACAGCAGATGCTCAACAACCGCTGTTTTGGGATAAGGGAGCATTGCGGTCAGTAGCCCTTTGACTTCACCCTAGGCCCACCCAACCACCTTGACGTGTAGCTTCCCCTCTCTATGGCTTGGTTCATTGCACAAGGTCCGTAATGCACCTTCCCAATGGAGCTTCTTTTCTGTTCTTTTTTTGAGATGGAGTTTCGCTCTTGTTGCCCAGGCTGGAGTGCAATAGCTTGATCTTGGCTCACTGCAACCTCTGCCTACCGGGTTCAAGTGATTCTCCTGCCTCAGTCTCCTGAGTAGCTGGGGTTACAGGCATGCACCACCATGTCCGGCTAATTTTGTCTTTTTTTTTT